CAGGAGGCTTACATCTGTTCTGTTCTAAACTACGCCTCACACCTCCAGGTAGTGGAACGCCCCACAACACACATCCACGTTTTAAAACATTGGTTGAAATTTGAAAGTGATTTGGATGACCTAGATGGAGAGGTCACAACTGCTATCTCAATCCATATTAATCTGTTGCTTCCTATACCAATCTCATATCCAAACACGAAAGAATAGTTTTAATTCTTTTTTTTTTGGTAGGTAAAAAATAATAGTTAACATCTAAAACAAAATAAGACTAAACTCTGAAGTTCAAATCAAAAGAAACAGCAGAAGCAAAAGAATGAAGAGAAATATGTATGCAGATAAACAAGATACCATATTTAAGGATCTCAAAAGGTTAGAACAGGAAATGTCAGAAGATAATAATATGCCAAGAGCAGCCAAGTATGAAGAATATGCTGACCACATATTGCCATGATGGGGATCGAGGAGGAAGGCAAACAAGCCCAGTTCGCTGAGTTAACTTCACCAAAAACTTGCGTAGAAGAGGACTCCGAACTGCAGTATTGGACTTAACCAAGATTGAGGTGTCATTCCAAACAACAGGAACTAGATCAAGCAAAACTTTACGACTACCAACCTGCATTTCCAAGAAATTACATATATAAGTGGAAGTGTAAGTACACTTAAATAAAAATGATACATATCTAAAAAAAAAAAAGAATAAACCAACCAGCTATTTGGTAAGCAAGTGAATGGAAAGATACAAGAATGTGCAAATAACAGTGTAAGATAGTAAACATGTGTTTTAAGCAAAGAAGTAAATCCTCATCAACATAGACATCGCAAACAGAGCGAGGCCGATTTAATCCTACAAAAATGAAATACCCTAACATCACAAGCCACCTCGCAAAACGACATTAAACGAGACCCAAGAATTGCCTCATGAGGCAATACAATAAGGTACTCGCAAACCGCCTTGCAAAGCAACATTGGGCCAGATTCACAAGTCGCCTCACTGGATTACAATTATCTGCCTCACAATAGTTGCCTTGCTAAATAACGAAATTGCACCTTGCGAGGAACCACCCCACGAAAGCCACCTCACCTAAGTAAGATCGCCCGCCTCATAGAACTATGCCTACCTTATAAATTCCATAAGAAGACCCAAGAATGCGGCAATGCGCTCTAACCACTTTGTGGTCCTGAGGGACATGTGTCCCAAAGAGAGAAATAAATGGGATCTACCTCCCGACGCTATGCTAACTAAAGAATATTTTGGAATTCTAGTCTCATGCATGCAATCTAGTTCCCTTCCATGTCTATAAATAGTGAGACTAGTCTCTATATCAGGAACCAAAGTCCAATCCATCTTGACACCAAAGTCTAGCATCACCCTTCCTTGATTCCAAGACTCTAAGTCCATCCTTATCCCTGTTGGTTTACACACAGGTTGGTGTGAAGGCACAGGTATGCCTCTTTTGATGAGATTTTCCTTTGTAAGGGATTTTCCAAGGACTGCAATCCAAATATGAAAAKCTATCTTGGAGGGGACCTCGTCATCCCAGATGAGCATGTAAGAGGAATCTGGAGATGTGGAGAAATGATTTCCCCTACAAGATCATTTGCCATCTTAAGGCTCAGTTTGGAAAAGGTACAAACAAAAATATGTACAGTGCAAATACATACAAAATAAGTGGCATCCTCCTCAATGTTTCCCTTGTTAGGGATTATCAAACCAAGGTAGCAGAAGAGGTCTGTGTTGCCACTTGGTCTCCAATCCCAGGTGTACCCTAATTTCCACTTCTATAGTCCTATTATAATTAAGTTTGCAATGCATATATTCTGTTTTAGCCCTTATTTTAAATCATTCGTCACCAAGGTATTTGTCAATGAATCTAATTTTGCATTTAAACATTATTTAGCGCTATCAATTAATACTATGTCATCAGCAAACCACATGCACCATGGGACCTCCCCCTAAATATGTTTAGTCAATTCATCCATGACCAATGGGGAATGGAGACTCTAATTGACTAAAGTGTTTGCACTTTGCAGTCCTACAAGGTGTTCAGATTGCAAAAGAGATGAATTTGGAAAACCTGGTGGTTGAAGGGGACTCCAAGGTGGTGGTGGGCTGGCCAAAATGCCCGGATTCAATGATGCGGTGCTATCAAGACGAAATGAAGAAATTCAAATGGTTAACACAGCAGATGAGCTTGATTATACAATGGGTGGGGAGGGAGGCTAATGCTATGGCCGATTCATTAGCTAAGCAAGGGGTAACTAGGGATCAATTGTACTGGGCACAATTGTAATTCTTGTGCTGTTTATTTCTTTATGAGGCTGCATCTCGTGCCTCCATCAAGGAAACTTGTAATAGTTGCTTATCTTTACTGATTTAATGAAATACTAAAGAACTTTTACTTATCATCCATGACCAGTGCAAATAAATAAGGACCAAGTCTTGAATCTTTGCCAAGTCACATTTTAACCAAAAATTCCGATGTCTCTACCACAAGTGTTCTAATGTTGGTTGCTTTTTGATAAGTAATAAGTAATTTATTAAGATTAATTAAGATGAGCCAACATAAGGTACAGAATAGAGTTTCCACAAAGAGGCGTGAGATGCTGCCTCAAGACAAAGCAAAATTACAACTAAGCGCAAAAAAAAATTGATCCCTATGCACCCCTTGCTTAGCTAAAAGGTCTGCCATCTCATTAGCTGATCTCCTTTCCCATTGAACTCTAACTGTTAAATTGGAGGTTAGCCACTTAAATCTTCCCTTCAAAGGCCACCACTCAATATTGGTCAACCCTCTAGGGCCTTGGAAGGGTAGACTGGGTATAATCCTAACCTTTGGCATTTTTTCACACAAAGTAGCCACTCTCAAACTCCAACCTGGGTTCTCATGTACCTATTTAGAGCTCCTTTTCCAAAACCCACCATATTGTCTCTCTAGATACTCTATTGTATGCTTTCTTTAGATCAATCAATACCATATGAAGATCTTTGTTCTATTATCAAAGCTTTTCTATCAATAAAAAGATTGCTTCCATGCAGTGATTTGAAAGGTGCGCCTAGGCACATTTTAAGGCATGCACCTCACCTAGGTCTCAGGTGCACCAAAAGTTGCATGCCTGGTGAATCTTACACCTCAGCCCAGGCGTGCACTCTTTTTGGGCTTTTTGGTGTTTTTTAAGCATGGTGCCTGGTCAAGGGGCTCCAAGAATCCCCTATTTGCTAATGTAGTTCATTCATYCATCCTAATTAAAGATATTTTTAAAAGATAATTAGAATTATAAAATCATTTTTTAGGGATTAAGAATTTTAAGGCCCTAACATGGACTTGTTTGGGCTTGCCTCAGGGGGCTTGGTACAAAGGCGACGTATAGAATTAGGAATGAAAGAAGTTACATCACAATAACTATTTGAAATAATGCGATTGAGAAATAAATAAAGAAATTAAAAGTTTGACACACTTGGATATGTTTTGCATGCTACTTTTTATTTTATTTTTGCATTTTTCACTTTGAATATGTTTTATATGTTATGTTTATGTATTTAATTTTGAGCTAATATGTTTTTAAAACATTTAGTTTAAAATTAAAGTTTGAATTTTTTTTAATTAACAGTATTTTTAATATTTTCATAATTTATTTTGAATTTTATAGTTTTTTGCACTTTTTTTTATTTCACGCCTTGCTTCAAAAAGGTGCCTGCCTCACTTTGTACCTTGGGTGCAAAAATGGCCTTTGTGCTTTTTTTGCACCTTGTTCTTTTAAAACACTGCTTCCATGGTTGATCTTCCTAGCATAAAACCATTTCAATTTTCTGATATACTTGTTGCATGTGATAAGAGAACTAGGAATTTTTCAAAGAAATGCTAGGGGACATTTCAGGGTGATTTGTTCTTCTCCAATGATTGAAAAGAGAAGTAATTTCAAGAGGAGGGTTGGTGACTTGGTGGAACGATTGGTTTAAAAAGAAATTACTAAGGGGAAAGATGATTTACAGTCATCTTTGGTTTGAGGAGTGTAGGTATTTGAAGTTGTTTTTTGTTTTCTGTCTGTGGTTCATTTAACCTCTTAAGCCAATATTTTTTTTATTTGATAAATAATCGTATATTCAATAAAGCAAACTCCTAGCTGCCCCAAAAGACAGGGATTGGGTGAGAAGTTGATAAAAATGAGAGGTGAGTTCTTTTTTCTTATTTAGTTGGACTAATAATGTGTTGACATGACTATAAATTGAAATTATACCCAATGATTTTAACTTGTGATCAAACTGTACAGTTGGACTACTGACCTGCCACCTGGCTAGATTTCCAGGTCCATTTCACCCTACTGTTCAGTTGCAAAAAAAAAAAAAAAGCTGTTGACTTGGACAATGACCTTGTGAACTGGCTGGTTGAACCAATGAGTGCTGAACAGTTTGACCAAGTCAGTGGGTCATGGATCATGCATTTATTCACTATTTGTTTTTTTGAAAAAGGTAATGTAATTTTATTAATAGGAGACAAAGATTACATATCGCCCTAACCAGGATCAACAGATCCTAAATCAGGGCCTAAGCACAGCATTACAACTCAAAGAAACTACAAGAACCCAGATGCAGACCAAGCACCCTGCTTTGGAGACCTTTTACAGCAGCTGTCCAAGAAACTAGCCTCCCATAGGATGTGGAGATTAAACTGTTGACTTCCATGGAACAGCTTTGAAAAAGTCTCTTATTCCTTTCCTCCCAAATGGTATTAATAATAGCAGCTGGGACTGTCTTCCAAACCTCTTTAGCCAATCTTGACAAGCCTTGAATCTCACAGCACCATAGTAAGTCCTTTACTGATGATGGCATGGTCCAGCTCAAACCCACCGAAGAGAGATAATGACTCCACAAATCTGCAATAACTAGACAGTGGAGGAATAAATGATTATTGTCCTCCTCCTCCCTCCCACACATCACACATAGCAGGTTAGGAACCTGGACACCTCTCCTTGCCAGGTTCTTCTTGGAGAGACTTTTGTCCAACACAACAGTGCATTCACCTTGGTGGGGGGAATTGGATTTCAAATCTTCTCAGCAGGAACCTCAGCTCTGTCACCTTCAGATAAACTTCTAGCAAAGGAACTGACTGAGAACTGGCTATCCTTGGACTCTCTCCAAATCCACGTATCTTCTTCTTCTTGGTTTAATGATTGAGAGGCTAATAACTGAAATAAATCTATCACTTGGTCAAGTTCCCAAACATGGAAATTTCTTCTGAAGTAGGGGTTCCATGAAATCAAACTGTTTCTCAACTCATAACATTCCACCAGCAACACCTCATGATTCTCTGCTAGCTGAAACAACTGAGGAAAGAGCACTGTTAAGGGCCTGTTCCTACACCAGTTATCTTTCCAGAACTTCAGCTTTAGACTTCTGCTTCCCAGACCTCCTTTTTCCTTGGGGGAGCACACTTGATCCCAATTAATTAAATGGATTTTCTTTTCCTCCTCCCAACCTCTCCATAAGAAATCCCTCCTGAGTTTTTCTAATTTTTGTGCCACCTTCCTTGGGATTGGAAACAGAGACAGAAAATAGGAGGGCAGATTGGACAAGGAGCTCTTTAGGAGAGTAATTCTGCCTACTAATGATAGGTACTTTGCAGGAAGATAGCCTACTTGACATGTCAACACCTCAGCAAGGGAGTCTATGTTCTCTACCTTTCCAACTGGGATGATTCTGCTCTTTGTCCAATTTACTTTCAAACCCAACACCACTTCAAATCAGTTCAGGACCCCTACTAGGATTTCCAACTGATCCACCTCAGCATCAATAAAACAGAGCATACATATCATCTGCAAATTGGAGAAGCTGAACTCTCTCCCAAGGGCCATCCGAAACCATTCCATAATCCTTCCTCCCCTACTCGGCAAGTAAACAGAGTAAGAATTCCCATCACACATATAAAAAGGAGGGGAGATGAAGGGTCCCCTTGCCTTAGACCTCTGGAACTCTTGAAGAAACCAGCCGATTGACCATTCACCAATACTGAAAATTTTGGAGAAGAGAACATACCTTTATCCAACTCCTCCATTTCCATCCAAAATTCATTTTTTCCAGCACCAGATCCAGACAATTCCAATTTACATGATCGTAAGCCTTCTCCAAATCTAGCTTACAAAGAAGACCTGGCTTCCCCTCCCTTTTCCTAGAGTCAATCAATTCATTTGCCACAAGCACACTATCCAACATTTGTCTGCCTGGCACAAATGCAAACTGATTCTTTGCTATTACTGTGTTCAGCACCTTCTTCAACCTTTCTGCTATAACCTTGGCCAAAATTTTATAAAAACTGCTCAGTAAACTGATCAGCCTGAAGTCCTTAATGTTTGTTGCTCCTTCCACTTTTGGGATTAATGATAGAAATGTGGCATTCACGCTTCTTTCCAATGCTGCATTTTGGTGGAAATCCTGAAACACCTTCAAAATGTCTACTTTTATCACCTCCCAGCATTGTTTATAAAACAAATTTGTTAGACCATCTGGCCCTAGTGATTTACCCACTTCCAGATTTTTTATCACATGCCATATCTCCTCCTCTGTAAATGGGGCTTCCAAACTGCTTTGCTGATCTTCCAAGAGCCTTCTAAAGTTAAGCTCAACCAAGAAAGGCCTATTCTTCCAGGGTTCCTTAAAGAGCTTTGAAAAGTAGGAAGTGGCAATTCTTGTCATTCCCTCCCAATTTTCACCAATCTAATCCTCAGATTCCAGCCTCTCCAACTGATTAAATCTTCTTCTAGCATTCACCATCTTGTGGAAGAAACTGAATTTTTGTCTCCCGCTTTCAGCCACTTGACTTTGGCTCTTTGCCTCCATTTTACTTCATCTCTATGAGCTAACTTATCCAGGGATAGCTTAGCAGCAAGTCTTTTATTTCTCTTCTCTTCTCCTCTAGGCATTTCTATTTCTCTAGATTTGAATTTCCTTTAAACTCTTTCCTCCATTCTTTCAAAAAATCCTTAGTTTGACTGAGTTTTCTTGCCAAAATAAACAAGTTGGTGCCTTCAAAATTCAGGTCTGACCATTTCATTGACAGCAGCTGGGCCAATCCTTCTTCTTCAAACCACATATTTTCCATCTTAAAAGGGCATTTTCTGGTCTTCAGATTACCACACACTAACTGCACGGGGGTATTATCAGATATTGGCCGTGGGAGATCCAACTGTTTCAAACCCTAGAAATTATCTTTCATCCAGATGAAATTAGAAACCTGTCCAGCTTCACCAAAGCCGGAGAATCCTGGTTGTTTGTCCAGGTGAATTGGGATCCAATCAGAGGCAAGTCAATCAATTCAAACTGGTTGACAAATTCACCAAATCTTCTCATCTCTCTGGTTCTCCTGGCCCCCCCCTAAATCTCACTACATAAAGTCCCACCCAAGCACCCACGGAATAGAACAATTCCCTCTTGATTCTGTAAGGTCCCCCCATAACCTCTCTCTCTCAAAATACTCCATCAGATACATTTGTGAATTGACCTTGAAATCCCCCTTCAAATTCTAGAACAACTGAAATTGAGAACTCTCCCACATGCGACGATATCAACTTACACTTCAGCCTATCCCACATAATTAACAAACCCCCCGCACCAACTCTAGCTGGTTTACACACCCACCATACCTACCCTGGACCCCAAATGCTCCTCACCACTCCAGGATCAACTGTTTCCAATTTAGTTTCTTGGAAAAACACCACCTCTGACTCCCACCTCTTCAACAAATCGCAAACCACCATCCTCCTCCTCCCAGAACCCAACCCCCTCACATTCCATGACATAATTTTTAATTCCATTAAACAGACGACTCTCCCCACCCTACCTTCTTTCCCCCACCCCCCATGAGGAGCCCACTCCTTTGCCCCCCTTCTCATTTAAACCCCACTCCAACATCATTATCTCCCTACTCTTCTTCATCTCGTTTCCCCCTTTTTTAGCATTCCGTTTTCCTTTTCCTTTCCGACTTCTTTTCATGATCTTCTCTAGGTAGAGGATCATTTCTTTCTCCGAACCAGCAATGGAGACACCCAGAAATTTGCCCAGCTCCTGGCCCGTTATCCTTCCTATTTTTATGGGTTTGGTCTGGGAATAGATTTTGTTGGCCTGACCTGGTCTGCCCCCAATCGGTTGGACCAAGTTCACTTCTTTCAGACAAACCAGGTTCAGCCACACCCGCCTAAGCTTCCAAGCTTCAACTGACAAGCCTCCGTAGAGGTGTCAGGAATCGCACTTCTCCCCAGGGATGAAACAGAATCCCAGACAACCGTATTCCACATGGCCTGATACTGCCCTTCTGCCTCCCCCGACGTCTTCTCCGATTCCGGCAACCTTTTCTCAATGTTGCTTTCTTCTTCTCCATCAACCAGCACCACCGTCTTGCTCGCCAGCGACTCCTCTTTCTCTCCCTCTTTCGCACAGGCCCTGTCCCCTAATCCTACCTCTCCTACCCCCCTCCAGCTAACCCGTGGCCTTTCTTCTTTCCAGATCCACACCCAAACTGAGAGGTCCCCCGACCTTCGCTCCACTTTTTCAAGAATCACCCCCTGGCCTTCACCCTTATTCTTACCCATTCACAGACTTCTAGTTCTTCCTCAGAGTCATCATACAGATATATCCTCCACAGAGACTTCTTATTCCCTCCACCACACTTGGGCACCAAAATGGCAGAGGCAATCCAAAAACTTTTGTCCATATCTCCTTAGGTTCTTTATCTACTTCCGCCCTCTCCGATGAGGGATTCATCACCGTCTTTTCCCACCATTCTAGATTCAACCTACTTTGATTAAACTGCCATGGCCCATTTGCTAGAACCTAGTGCGCTTCCCCCCTAGACGGGAAGATGAAAAGGTACAACTTTTCTATCAATTTTTTTATCCTCACCCCACCCACTTCTCTCCAACACCTTGTTGCCCCAGCTTCCGCCTCCTCGATAGAAATCTTTCTCTCGAAGCATCCAACCAGACATCTTTGTAGGTAGGATCTCGCACGAACACCCTCTTCTGAAGTTACTAACACTAATATTCCCCCAGTTTTGTTGGTTCTGTCCTCCCAAAGTTTGGCTAGGCACCCACCATTGTTGCTTTCTCAAACGAGAAATTCCTTCTTAAGCCAGCCTTTGGATGGCCTTGACTATACCACATTTTTCCTCCCCAACGTTTTCCTTCACCCCTTTTCATCCTCCTCAACACTTTCGCATCCTCCTCAACTCCCTTTTGTTCCTCTTCTTCTTGTCGCTCGTCAGTATTCCTCGTCACCACCACTGATCGTCACTAACATTGCTCCCCTCAGTTCGAAATGAATTTGGATTTGATCCAAGTTTCATAAACTTCATTTTTGCAAAGAAAAGATCTAATACAGCTTCTACTTCGAGATTCTAAAGCAAGCTTCTCACAGTTCTTAATTAACTAAACCACCTCCCTGGCCGTCACCGCTGCCCATATCCAGCGAAAAAAAAAAAAAAACAAGCCAGCAAAAGACCAGCATAATTTTTTGTATTTTTAGCCAATAGTTAATTTTTGTTTAATGTGATGAATACATAACACTAGACATGCATAATTTTTTTCTACATATTCTCTGATATTCTATATTTTATGCACTTTTATCTATTTTTATTTTATTTATGACCTCACAGGCTGACTCATTTGACCTGAACGGTTGAACTGCTGACCACCCAAATGGGCAAGCAATTCCATTTCTAGGTCAGTTTTTAAAACACCGGTCATGCCGTTGTATTTGTACATTTGGGTGGCTTTTGTAAGGATGTTATATCAAACTCTTACTTTATAATATGTTTTTATTTACTAAATTTACTTTTATTTATTATCAAAAGAAAAAGGAGAATATGACCTAAACCTTTCAACAATTATGAAATGCAAACTAACACAAGAGAAAATGTATTAAAGCAACAGCAGCAACCCTAAAGCAACTTTTGGTATAGTAACATCCCATCAAATACCTCCCGTCCCACCCTTCCTATATCTAAACTTTCTGCAACGATAGTTTGCCAATCCCCATATCCATCTGAACAATGTCTAGAATCTTGATGCCAGATTTCTAAGTTTTCTAAAATAATGCCTGAAGATCCATGACCTGTTATGCATATTGACTTTTAAATCAATGTCACCCATCTTTTTGGATAACAAATGTCATCCATAATGACATGATCAGAATAGCATGATGAATGATAATCACACCTTGAAAATGGCTGCTAGTGCTTCCACAACACCAAGTAACCGAAAGTGATCCATGACATCGTTTGTTGCAGAAGATAAAATTTCATGTGTCCATTCAATGAAACTGGAAGAAGAAAGAAAACCATAAACATGTCACCTTCAGCATCAAATTTGATTCACCAACAGTTCTCAGAGCAGATAAATGAAAGAAAGGTTGTGTTGCCATAGAAAATTTCTGTGGGGAAAAAAGATAAACAAAACCAAGTACAGTGTATGTGGCCAAAGAAGCCACCTTGTGCAAAATAAATGCCAAAGGTTAGATCTCCAGTCTACCCTCCTAAGACCTCAGATAGCTAGGACCAACATTGGGTATGCATGATGTTATGCAAATAGATACAAACAAACAAAAGGTTCAAAACATCAACAAGGTAACAGCAAATGGGTTATAGCAATGGCAATTACAAGAGATGCACAATATGCTTCAGGAAACATTGTAAAAGTTAAGATAGACGAAACTCGTATAAATCTCATAACTCATAAATATATAGAGAATACTGTTCTTCATCTTTAAATGGTTACAAGATAAGCTCATCATCTAAGCTTTGTCCCAACTATATGGGGTAGGTTACATGAATCCTGTTTCGCCATTCCATTCTATTAAGTGTCATATCCATCAGAGTAGAAAGGTGCTGAAATAAAAAATCTGTAAAAGAAAATAATATTTCTTGAAGAAGAAGAAGAAGAAGAAGAGAAGGAAGGAGAAAAGGAAGAGAAGAGATGAGGGAGAAAAGAGAGCAATAGTGCTGGCCGCCCTCTTCACTATTATTTGTAGTCTGAAAATAAAAAAGAGTACAAAGACAAATATGCCCTTATAGGGTGGCTAACACATAAAACAATTAATATAACTGCTCAAAAAGGACCCAACAAGAGTGATGTGGTCCCCACTTCCTATCTTTTTTTTTTATCATCGTCCCCACTTCCTATCTAAACAATAAATAATCAAAAACTACCACTATAGATTACACAATTTGTCTAAAACCTCAACAATCAGTAAATCATGGGTGTTTATAAAACATCTTATTACCTCCTTCCAAGTCCTTTTCGGTCTGCCCCCAGTTCTTGTAGTCCCTTCAATTTGTAAGAGATCACTTTTTCTAACAAGTGCTGTAGATGGTCCTAACCACCTCAATCAACTTTTTCTAACAAGTTCTTGTAGTCCCCGGTTTACCACTCACCCATCTAAGCATTTGCATTTGTACCACATTCATCATTTTTTGGACATGTTTCTTAACTGCCCAACACTCTGCTCCATATAACATAGTTGGCCTTGCACTGTTATATAGTACTTTCCTTTCAGCCAAAGTGATATTTGAATATCACATAAAACTCCGAATGCACCCTCCATTTTGCTCATCCTGCTCTAGTTCTACTGATGATCAGGTTGAGGAGCTTGCAGAGGTAAATAAAGTTGTTACAGGTTTTTATAGTGTTATTTGAGAATAGTGAGATCAATGCCTGCCATAGAATCAACAACATTTCATCAAAGGTAAGATTCTCAGATAGTTTTGGTGGAGATGAGGGTTTAGATGATTGGTTTCAGGGTTGTTTGGTGGAGGGATTTGAAGTAGGTGGCATGACGAAAGGTTGTTCAAGGGGGTGGAGTCTATTTTGTTTGAGATTTGAGGGGGATGTGATGATGGGTTTCAAGAACTTTGGGGAGAGAAGGGGTTAAGAAGGTAAGGCATAGGGATTGGCTGAGTATGGGGTGACCTAGGTTGTATCGGTAGATGAATTTGAGAAATAGTAATGAGGAAATTCTGAGGGTGGAATAATTGAAGAAGGGAGATTTTAAACACCGACAGAAAGTAGATCGGAAGGTTAGCTAGGGTAGATCTAATCAAGGTGATTCTCCCCCTCCCCCCCAAGGAGAGATAATTTTTCCTCCAGGATGCAATCCTCTTCTCAAATCTCTCCACTACCGGGTTCTAGAAGCTTTCATTCTTAGGATTATCTCCTAAGGGGAGGCCCAAGTACTTCTCCACTAAGGTTTCCAACCTTTTGGAAAAATTAATGAGGAACTTTCTCTGGGAGACTGGAGAGGAAAAGAAAGACCATAGGGTGAGTTGGGAGGTGGTATCTAGAGGTAAAAAGCTAGGAGGCCTTGGGATTGGTAACATTAAGAAAAGGAATATGGCTTTGCTGGGGAAATGGTTGTGGAGATTTACAATGGAAAAAGATAAGTTGTGGGCTAAGATTGTGGCTAACATACATGGGATGGAAGACAATGGCTAGGATCCTGGAATCGCTACAAGGGCTACAATTGCTTCATCTTGGAAATCCTTTCATGCTTTGCTTCCTGCTTTCTCCCCTTGGGTCAGGTATGGTCTTAACTCTGGTAATCGAATAAAATTTTGGGAATATACTGGGTAGGGAATTCACCTCTGAAGGACCAGTTCCCCTCCTTGTATGCTTTGTCTGACTTGAAAAATGAGCCTATTTCTTCTTTCATAGGTCCTTCAGATTCCACCTCTGGTTTTGGTTGGAACCTAGGCCTGAGAAGGGCAATTAGGGATACAGACGTGGACAGCACCTTATCTTTGTTATCCATCCTTGAGAATGTCTTTCTGGATCCTAATAAGGAGGATACTAGAATCTAGACTCCTTCCACCTCAGGTACTTTCTCTTATGCTTTGTTTTTTGAAACTCTAACTTAGCCTCCTATCACTTTAGGGGTGTCCTTTCCGGTTAAAGAGATTTGGAGCAAGCTCCTCATCGGGTTGGTAGTTTTTGTTGGGAAATTTTCATGGAAAGATTTAACACATTTGATTTACTTCAAAAAAAAGAGACCTAACTCTTGCTTACTTCCTAATTGGTGTACTCTTTGTAAAGCTGATGGGGAAACTAGTTACCACCTTATGGTTTCTTGTAAGATTGCTAACACTGTTTGGGAGTGGGCTCTTTCCCTCTTTAGGTGTTCTTGGAATCCTCCCGAGAGTGTCCAGAGGCTGTTCTCTCCTACGTTTTTCAGCTGGCCTAAGAAGAGAGGGAAGATTATGTGGAGGAGCATTAGGGCAGCCGTATGTTGGTCCCTTTGGGAAGAAAGAAATCTCCGAATCTTCTCAGACATGGATAGATCCCTGGCAAACCTATTAGATCTATTTCTCTTAAGGGTTGTCCATTGGCTAAAATCTATGGAGCAGTTTTCAGACTTTCCTGTGGCTAACTTATTAAGAAACTGGAGAGAGATAGCTACTTCTGTTATGTGTAAGAGGTCTCCTAGTCACTTTTGGTCCCCTCCTCCCTCTGGATGTATAAAACTGAATTTTGATGGCAGTAGTTTGGGGAATCCAGGACCTTCTGGGATTGGGGGAGTGTTCAAGAATAAGGAGGGGGTTATTATTGCTTTGTTCTCCGGCCCCATTGGGGAAGGAGACTCTCTCAGGGCTGAGATCCTTGCAGCTCTGGAAGGAATTCAAAGAGCAAGGGAACTAAATATCAGACRCTTGGTCTTGGAAGGTGACTCGAAGGTGGTGATTAGCTGGCTAAAGGAAGAGGGCAGTGGCTTGTGGAGATATAACAATGAAAAGAAAAAATTTTGTTGGTTGGGCAAAGACATTGAGATACACTATAGCTGGATGAAGAGGTCTGCCAACTCACTTGCAGATGGGCTGGCCAAGCAGGAGGTGAATAGGGAGGCTATATTCTGGGCTAATTTTTGAACTTCTGTCTTTGTATTCTGTTGTGGGGGAGTTAAGTCTTTTTACCTCCCCTGTTGTATCTAAATCTTCACAAATTTTCACATCATTAATAAAGTTTTACTGTTATTGATCAAAAAAAAATTAAGGGGGAAGAGGTGATCAATGGGGTCAAAGAGTTGGCAAAAGAGATGCTGAGGAGGTTAACGTTTACAAGAGGATGAGAAATTACAGAACTAAACCTTTAGTCGTTGAAAGTAAAATTGAGGAAAATCATGAGGGTGATGATTTACTGGACAAGGTGGTTATTGATGAAAATATACAATTGAAAATTAAAAAAATCGATTGATATTAAGAAAGATGTGAATAGGTGGAGGTAAGCAAAACACTGGGACTGTTTTTTGGAGGTGTTTAATGAGTTGGAGAACAAAGGTTGGGAAAAAGATAATCAGGTTCATAAAGAGGATGGTTTTAATTTAGAAGAGATGGCCCTACACAGACTAAAACCAGTCAGAGGCATTGAGGATGTCGATAGAGAGGGCAGGGGGTTGAATTTAAGACTTTTGAGAATGTGATTTTGGAATTGGAGAGGATTAAGTCGAGTAATTAAGTGTCAAATGGTGTTAAGATGAAGTCAAGAGTTCATTTGTTGTGACTTGTAAGTCATTCTTTTGGGGGATGCTAAGGTTGAAGTTGGACGGTTAGGTGGTCTATCGAGTGAGCTTAGGGTGGAAGTTTTTCTTGCGGGGTTTTACCAACCCGCTTGAAACCATTTGACAAATAACAGTATTCCTTTGCTTAGGAGAGTGGATGAAAGGGATAGGATCAAGTCGTTTCCCATTTGCAATTTGCAGATGATACAGTGGTATTGGGGGAATATAGAGGTCTTCACTCTTCAAGATGTTAGAACGTAGAAGTCATAGGAGGATTTTGGGAATTGTGGAGAGAGTTATGGGGCTGAAGGTCAACCTTGCCATATGTGGTTTTGTGTGGATTCATATAGAGAATGATGATAAGAAGAGTGTGCAGCTTTGTTGGGGCGTGAAATTAAGACTTGGCCTATTAAGTATATAGATTTGCCTTTGGAGGGCAATCCTAGGGAGGGAACCTTTTGGGATGTCATTGCGGAGAGATTCTCAAAAAAAAACTTACTGCATGGAAAAGAATTATGTATCAAAAGGTGGCAAGTTAACTCTTATTAAATCCGCATTGTCTAATCTCCTCATGTATTTCCTCTTGTTGTTTAAAGCCCCCTTGTAGGTAGTGAAGGAGATTAGAGAAGATTATCAGGGATTATTTGTGGGATTGTGGCAATGGGAAAAAATATCAACTTATGATTTGGAATAAAGTGTGTAAAAATAGAGGAGGGTTAGTGTTGTAAGTCTTAATATTGTAATGGATGGGCTGTTTTCTATTTGTTTCTTATTGGGCTTAGTGGGACCTGGGTTATATTGTCCTTAAAACATTTTATGTTCAGCCCACCTAATGAGAGGCAATATTGTACTTTTTCATGTTTTTGAACATTCTCTTAAATACCATCTAAGGCTGGATGAAGCTAAGCTGCCGCCACATTCTCTCGTCTTCTTTTCTTGTCTTCTCTTCTTCTTCTTCTTCTTTTGCTCAAAAACCTTCAGTAAGAAGAATATTTGCCATCATGGCCACTTTTAGGTGGAAGCACTCAGAAATACTAATTTGATGGGAGATCTAGCTAGCTAATACACACTCAACTTTGGGCTATTGCACCTTAGTTGGCAGGAACCTTGTGACATGGGGAAGTGAAAAACAAACAATTGTCTAAAAATTGAGATCAGAAGCTGAATCTAGGGCTATGGCTCATAGGGTTCAAAACTACTGTGCTTAAAACTTTTGTTGACTAAATTAGATGTTAAGGTTAATGGTCCTATGAAGTTGTGTTATTACAAAAAAAGTGGCTATCAACATTGCTCATAATTCCATACAACACGACAACACTAAACATTTTGAGGCAGCCAGGCATTTCATCAAAGAGAAAGTAGTTTGCAAATAAGTTGGTTTACAGTATGTGAAGACCAAAGATCAACTCACAGATTTCTTATATTGCTTCAAGAAAAGGTGCACATGAGTGGAATTACTCAAGTATAGATAAATGTAGAATTGCAGCCTCATTAATTATGAAGACACACAAAGAACAAAGAAGCTAATCAAACATACATATAAATGTAATACATAAATATAGATATCTAAATACCAAAGCAATAAAACCACGTGGCCAATTGCTTTGATTGTGGGTTAGCGTGAGAATGTGTGGTTTATAACCAACCACTCTATTTATCAAAGTCCTTTTCAAATAATAAGGGCATGTTGTGAAGCCTGTAGAGGGATAATGTAATCAATTTTCATCCATCAGAGAAGGGGCATTATGTAATGACCATGCATTCACTTCTTCAGTCCATTTCAGTTAATACCCCAAGCAGCATTGCAGCTTTTTCAAAGTCATGCCAGCTTTTATGATTTCAACTATTTTAACAACAGATTTCTGTTAAGCCAAATAGCAGGGGATTAATGGCCAAACTTGTACAATTTCCACTATCTATATCTCTTTTCTAGATGACCCATCTAGTATTAGTGAAAATACCTATACATGTGTAAGAGAGATTGAGAGAGAATGGTTGATGTAAATGCATCCATGCATGATAAGATATACCTTGAAAAGGCTTTAGGCATGTCTGGTCGCGTTAGAAGCCTCGAGAGCAGTAACCCAGCTATGGCACGCATTGGGCCAGCACTTGAAAGGTAATCTTTAGAGAACCCTAGTATTTTCAGCACCAAAGGAGAGGGTTCAAGTCCACCCACAAGGCCACTGCTTGCAATACTAGTATCCACTGAAGAGATATCAAAAGGAACCAAAACAAGTATTGAGAGCCATAGAAGTATGACACATTTTGTCTCCATTTCCCCAGTACTTTCTTGCCGCAATGATGTCACTACAGTTGCATGATGGCACTTCTCCAAAAGAGAGACAGCAAGTTCTAATTCAGAGACCTGATGTGGGAAAAACTTGATGACAGACTTGTATCCACATACAGTAACAAGGGAATAAATAATAATGCACAAAGGCTTGATTATCTCAAGAATTTCATCTGTGACAACCCCCAATGCAACAGTTTTTGAGCGGACTATAAACATCAGTGGAGAAATAATGGTCTCTAAGTAAGGCTCTAAAAGTTGACCCTGTTCTTGGTACTTATCTAGCTGCAAAACAAAGGAAAAGAAAACAATTTAACAATTTTTATCAAATATTCACTGTGGTAAAAACAGATCTACGCAGAGTTAGCAGATCTGGCATGAAGAAAAAAATGAACCAAAGAAAACATGAATAATCTAGAAATCAAGGTTTGGAACAAAAACTAATACTTCACTTTTGAACAACGGTACTTTATTATTGCATATTCGCATTTAGTGATCTCAAGCATTGAACCACCAAGGAATGTTTTCCATTTTTAAATTCAAAATGAAAAACACACAAAGATAAGAACAAGCAGAAAGCACAAAGCTAAAGGAGTGGTGGGAGGCACTCAGACCTTTGGGGAGGTTGAAAATGGTAGGTTTCTCCAGAAAACTGAAGAGGCTAAAAGAAAAATAAATAAATAAAAGAATGGAATAAAGCCCATTTCGGAAGGGTAGAGGAAATAAAAGATAACTTAGTAAAAAGGATTGAGGAGCTAAGATAGGAAAGAGGCTCTCAAAGTCATTTCAGAAGAAGAAAGAGGGGAAAGATGGAATCAAAAGCAAAAAACACTAAGTTTTTTCACTCTCTTGCAAATGGGAGGAGAAAGAACTTAATCCTGAGTGTGGAGGAAGAGGGACAAGTGGTAAGAGAAAGTCAGGGGATTACAAGGATTTTTGTAAATTATTTTAAAGAAATTTTCTCAAGCCCACATGGAGTGTTGCCAGAATTGCCAAAGATGGAAGGGGATGTTCTGTCAGAAGAACAATCTCATGCCCTAGAAAGGAGATTTTCTCTACAAGAAATCAAGGAAGCTATTTTTTCAATGGACAGATCTAAAGCCCCTAGGCCGGATGGCTTCTCCGTGGCCTTCTATCAACAGTGTTGGGATATGGTGAAATCAGACATCCTGGAAGTCTTTAATGAATTTTTCTCCAAAAGGGAGGTATCACCAGGAGCAAATGCCACATTTATCACTTTGAATCCAAAGAAGACGGAGGCCAAAACTCCTAAAGACTTTAGACCAATAAGTCTCATTGGGAGTGTTTACAAAATTCTGTCAAAGGTTTTAGCAGAAAGACTAAAAAAGGTATTACCCTCAATCATCTCTCCTTTTCAAGGAGCTTTTGTAGAAGGAAGACAGATTGTGGATCAAATCTTGGTGGCTAATGAATGCGTAGGGGAAAGAAGAAAGGGTAGAGAAAAGGGAGCTGGTTTGTAAGGTAGATCTAGAAAAGGCCTATGACTTGGTTAATTGGGAAGTCCTTCTAAAAGTTATAGAAAGACTCAGATTCAAAGATAGATGGAGGGCTTGGATCAAAGGATGTTTAAGTTCACTCACTACTCAATCCTAATCAATGGTACAGCAAAGGATTTCTTCCCCGGCCAGGAAAGGAATTAGGCAAGGTGACCCCCTATCCCCATTCTTGTTTACCCTCCTAGTGGCAGAAGTGTTAAGTAGAACGGTGGCAAAAGCTTATGCTCAAGGCCTCATCAGAGGGTGGAGGGTAGGTAGAAACCGAGTGATTGTTACCCATCTCCAATTTGCAGAAGACACCATATTTTTTTGTGAAGGAAACAATGAGGAATTGCTGGGAAATTTGAGGGTGCTGCTGAATAATTTTGTCGGAGTAACAGGGCTGAGGATAAATTGGACCAAAAGTGGAATTGCAGGGGTCAATTTGGAGGAAGGAGAACTATTAGTTACCTAGGCTTACCCTTAGGAGGAAATCCCAAGTCAGCTGGTTTCTGGAAACCAATGTAAGAAAGGTTTGATAGGAAGTTRGCCCTTTGGAAGAGGAATTACATTTCTTTGGGTGGAAGAATAACTTTGATTAGAGCCACTCTGGCAAACCTCCCCACCTATTTCCTTTCAACTTTTAGAAACCCTTCTAAGGTAGATACGTTGGGTTAAAAGATCGGCTAATTCCCTAGCTGATGGTTTAGCTAAACAAGGGGCAGAAAGGGACTCACTTTTTTGGGCCAAGCTGTAACTGTAGTGTGTTTTCTTTCTTTCTTTCTTTTCTTTTTCTTTTTTCCTTTTCTTGAGGTTCTTTGTTGCTCTTGGAAGATAAGCGTGTTTGTCTTCCTTTTGTAAATCTTCTATTGATGAATTAATGAAAGTGTTATTGATCAAAAAAAAAAAGGTGCTTAGAGAAGTATATGAGAGATTTCCTATGGAACCCAGGAGAGGAAGGGAAGGATCACTTGATCAAGTGGGAGCAGGTTAGTAGTAAACCCAAGGAACAAGGGGGTTTGGGAATTGGGAACATCCTTTTAAGGAACACAGCTCTACTAGGTAAGTGGCTTTGGAGGTTTCCCTTTGAGGGCAACAAATTGTGGCACAAAGTGATTGAGAGCATTCATGGGGTGGCTAGAAATGGCTGGGATGCAAAAGTTTCCCCTCACAGATCTTCAGCATCTCCTTGGAAAGCAATTCATGAAATCTACCCTACTTTCCTCAATTCCATCCGGTTCGATGTGGGACAAGGTAATAGAATTATGTTTTGGGAAGATCTATGGGTAGAGGAAACCCCACTAAGGACCAATTCCCTCGTCTCTTTGTGCTATCTAACCATAAGGGGGAAGCTATATCCATGTTGGGATCACCTGTGTCCAACTGGTGTGAACTGGAATTTGGGCTTTAGAAGGGGACTAAGGGAGAATGAGTGTGAATCATTAACCCATTTGCTGGACCCCTTAGGGCAGATCCACTTGGACCCTTCATTGGAAGACTCTAGAATCTAGGTAGGCTCTCCAGACAGCCTCTTTTCTTGCTCCTCTTTCTTCAAAGTACTTGCTTCCCCTAACCCTCTAGGTGGGATTTTCCCTGTGAAAAAAATTTTGGTGCAAGCCTATTCCCCCGAAGATCCAAGTTTTCTGCTTGGAAGTATTCCTTGGTAAGGTAAACACTTGTGATATGCTGCAGAAAAGAAGGCCATATATTTGCCTTTCTCCTCGTGTGTGTTCACTGTGTAAAGAAAGTGATGAGACCCTTCCTCATTTAATGATATCCTATTCTTTTGTGCATCGAATTTGAGAATTCTTTTGTACTCTCTTTGGCTGCAAGTGGATTCCCCCTCAAGATGTGGCAAAACTCTTCAACCATGATTTCTTGAGATAGAGAAAGAAAAGAGGGATGCTAATGTGGAAAGCAACAAAGGCAGAAATTTGTTGGGTAACATGGGAAGAGAGGAACAACTGTTTTCTTGGAAAAAAAGTAGAACAATAGAGGAAGTGATTGATAGTATCAAGGTGAAAGTAGCCCATTGGGTAAAACCCTTGGACTACTTTCAAGTCTTTTCAATCGCAGATATTCTAAGAACATGGTCCAAAGTAGCACAATCTTCGAGAGCAAGAGATAAAGTAAGGATGGAGTGGAAACCACCTAAAGGCAATAAAGTAAAGCTGAATTTTGATGGGTGCTCATATGAAAATCCAGGCATCTCAAGAATAGGAGGAGTATTAAGAAACTCTGACAGGAGGATATTGGGTATGTTCTCAGGACCGATCGGCAATGGAAACTCACTGAAGGTTGAACTATTGGCATTACTACAAGGGTTAAAGCTAGCCAAACAACTAGGATGCAGACATGTTGAAGTGGAAGGGGACTCAACATGAGCAACAAATAGCAGCCACACCCCATGGACGTTTAAACATGTGATTAGGGAAGTGGAGAAGATTGCTAAGGAGGTTGAGGCAGAATTTAAATGGGTCAAAAGAAGTGCAAATGGGCTAGCTGACGGATTAGCAAAACAAGGGGCATTGAGACAGCAATTATTTTGGGCTACACTGTGATGAGGGGTGAATAGAGTGATGAAAGGGGATCATCAGTCCCATCATCAAGTTGCATAAACTGCTTACAATCTGAATTTTAATAAAATACATATTTACTGATCACAAAAAAAGAACATACTTCAGATTCATATTTGAAAGATTTTAGACTCGACAGTCTTAAAACTTACCCTTTTTTTTTGGACTGTCAACTTGATTTCTTGACTACTGAATTTGGTTTTCTCTGATATCCTTGTGCCTGGACTGCAGCAGATTCTGGCTGAAAGTTTGGAAACCCAAATAAAGAAGTGAAAATCTTCCACCAAAACCCAGCAACCTTGCATGAGATGAAAAGATGTACAACAGATGATCCACTGTCAAAATACTGTCCATTGCCACGAGCCATACAAATGCTTCAACACTTGGAGGGATTGGATTTCCCCAAATGCCATCTATCTGAATTGGATCTAAATCGTCCCTAATGATATTCATGTAACACAACTTAACAGAGAACTTCCCATTTGAGCACTCTTTCCACCAAAGTTCATCCCTTGTCTGAGATGAAACCTTCATTTCCTCTAATTTCTCCAACAGGTGTATGTATTCCTCCACTTCTCTGTCTAACAAAGGCCTTTTAAACTTTGGACACCAGATCAGCTGATCCCCCCCTCTTCTCATAACATTCCTTTATAGAAACTTCAGCCTCAGACAACAATCATCTTCCCAGAACCTAATTCTTGCACCATCTCCAACTGAAAAACGAGTTAAGCATCTGAACTCCTGATTTAATTTCATGATTCCCTTCCACACACTCATCACATATGAAGATCTCACCTTCTTGGGTTCCCATCCAAATCTCACCATCCCATACTTACCCACCACCACTCTTCTCCAGAAAGAATTTTCCTCCTTCCCTAAGCCAAATCTCCATAGCCACTTCCCTACCAAAGCCTTATTGAAGTCCTTCACTCTCCTGAATCCCAGCCCACCCTTTTCCTTTGGTTTACAAACTCTCCCCCAAATTTACCAAGTGAAACTTCTGCACCCCACCTTCCCTGCACACCCCTTCCCATAAAAAATCCCTCTGTCAATTCTTTCAGCCACTTGAGATGGAATCCTTAGTAAGGATAAGTAGTAGGTTGGTAAGCTTGATAGTACACTCTTGATCAAAGTTATCCTACCTCCCAAAGATAAATATTTTGCTTTCCAACCATCTAGTATCCTCTCCACCCTTTCCAAGTGTTATTGAAGTTGTTTTGGGAGTTACACTCCTATTTCAGTGTCCATACTAGGAGTTTGTCTTAGTTCTAAAGAAATTGAAGTTGTTTTCAGTCAGTTTTCTAATTGATTTGGAATCTGTAAAGAAAGATTCAAGCACTTGATGAGTCTATAAATAGAAGCATTGTACTTGAATTAGAATATTTGATCTCATGAATAAAAGTTTATTTTATTTATCACATGTGCTGGGAAGTCTTTCTTGGAAAGGTAAACACTAGTGATATGATCCAAAAAAGAAGGTCAAACAAATGTCTATTGCCCCACGTGTGCTTCCTTTGCCTTGCAAGTGGTGAATCCTTGTCTCTTTTACTGCCTTCTTGCCCTTTTGTGCTTTGTGTTTGGGACCTCTACTGTTCTCTTTTTGGCTGCAAGTGGACTTCTCCACAGGATGTAGAGAGCCTTTTCAGCCCAAGTTTCCTAAGGCAACCAAGAAACAGAGGAAGAATTATCTAGAAAGAAATCTGTGCTGCAGTACTGTGGATTGTTTGGGAGGAAAGGAATGAGACGACAATCAATGAAAAGTAGATCAAAAGAGGAAATGGTTGGAGCTATAAAAATCAAAGCTGCACATTGGATAAAGACATTTGATCTATTCAAAGAATTTTCAGTGAATGATATCTTAAGGGCATGGACTAAAGTGGCATCTTCTTCTAAAGAAAAGGAAAAGGTGTTTATGGAGTAGTTACCCCCAAGCAGCTAATAAAATTAAATTTTGATTGGAGCTCCATGGGGAGCAAAGGAATAGCAGGTGTTGAAGGAGTATTTAGAAATTGTACAGGAAAAGTGTTGGATATGGTTTCAGGACCTGGGTTTGGAGATTCACTAAAGGCTGAACTGATGGCACTATTACAACTTTACAAGGATTAAGAATTGCTAAGGAATCAAATTTTCAGAACTTGGAAATAGATGGAGACTCAAAGTTGGTCATTTCTTGGGCCAAGAGTAAGAAGCTTAAGCCATGGATCTATAGGCATAAGTTTAAGAAAATAGAGAGTAACACACGGGAGCTGAACATAACTTTCAATTGGGTTAGAAGGACAGCAAACGGGATGGCCGATACAATACTTTAGCAAAACAAGGGGTATGTAGGCAACAGTTGTTTTGGACACTATTGTAATATTGTAACTTTGTTGGGGCTGGATTGGGTCCTTATGGGTGGATATAATTTCATTGTAATAACCAGATACATATTTCAATATAATTCATAATTTTCTTGCTGATAAAAAAATAAAATAAAATAAAAGTTTAGTTTAGTTTAGTGAATTATGGTTATATCCTGGTATTTTTCTTTCTTTTTTTTTTTTCGGCTCTCTCTCAGTTATTCTTTTCTTCCAAGTTCCAAGTAACCTATTTCTTTGTTGTCTACTCTAACAGTAAGAGTTCTTCTCTTTCTTTCTAATCTCCCACTCATTCTTCAGTACTTACTTCTCCATCTATATTCCCCATTGTTAATCACCAAAATTTGCTCTTTCACCCTAGAGCCCACCACCAAACCTGAGAGTTTTAGAACCCCCCCCCCAAATCCTACATCAGTCTACCTTCTAATCGTTGACATAATAAATAAATAAGGTAATAGAATAAACCAATGGTTCACCTAACATCTGAATCAATGTCGTCAATATGCCTATCCTTCAAGATTAAGTGATTTATTGCAAACATCAATCACAGATATAGAAAAAATGTAGTAACCACACAGAACAGTTGCTCGCCTCAACTTTTCTACTTGCTGATGTGCTATGAATAAAATAATACATTGATTTCTTCAAATCAGCTTCAAGATCGTTAAGAGAAATCAGGATCCACTATAAGACCCAAAAGACAAAACCTAACTGGGCACTTCAGATGCATCATCTATGTCCATGTACCCACCACGACATAGAATGTAATTCATCTTACCAAGCAAGCCAATATGTAAAACTAGAATCCAGCACATCCCCTTAACAGCCATAATAAACACCATAGTTTGGCATAACTCATTACGTTCATGCATAACAGATTTGGATCAGATCTACATAGATTTGAATCCAACCCTATTATTATGAATTGAATCAAATTCTGCCCATCAGATTTTGATTGAACTCAGATAGGATTCAAACATTTTGTATCTTTAATAAAATTAATTAAAAAAACCAAAGTACTATATTCTATTAATAAAATTAACTAAAAATGACTTGAACATTGTATATTGTTAATAAAGTGAATTAAAAATAACTTTCATGAAACTTGAACTTATGAGCCTCTAATGAACATATGATGTTTGAACCAGCATGATTAATGAAATATGTGTAATATAAAAATATGCACATACACACTAATATTACCATACTTGGGTCTTAATTGGATTGAGGTGTATGTGTATGCATGTCCAATCCAATTATAAATAGACCTGCTTTTTTGAAATCCAAATCTGGCTTAATCAGATCATATTCAAACTCAAGCTCAGATAATCACGTACCATTGATAGCCCTACTCTTGACCACAGTGAAAACCCATAGATGGAGTGCTAACCACCCACTTAATCACCTCCCATCTGATTTCCAGCAAGAAGGCTGCCCTTCTCCCAATGTCAGAAACAACGAACAAAAAAAAATGAAAGGATTGAAGTAATTCAAACCTCCTGCGGTCAGTGAGGTGACTCTTTTTTTGATAGGCAAGATGATATTTAATGTTTCAAAATGGCTCCCTTTTCATAACCCAAGTAACATGAAGTTACCACTAAAGTAAAGAATACAATTTCCCACAAGTGAGCCATCCAACAGAAGGGAGAGAGAGGAAAAAAAAACTCAAGATGGTTATAGGAATGATGGACGAGTTATTCCATCTCAACTATTCATCTATTTAACCACAACTTTCATGAGTTTGCACTAGCAACCATTTTTTCCAATCCTAAAGGTGCACCTATTTTTCCAAAATAAATGCCCAGAAGGCGGGGAAGACTGACACACTAGGATATGCATCATCTCCAAAGCATCTTATAGCTGCCCAAACTTTCTTTCGCTCTGTACTACTAAGGTGCAGAACTTGTAGACGCGCTGCATTAAACATTAGAGAACAAAGCCATTCCGCTATATTGGATCACGAACAACCAAGCTTTTTCCAGATAAGGCGATCATATTGTCTTAATCCACCGTAGATTCTAGTTAGCAAAGCCCAAAAAAATGCAAAATCACGTAATAGGACTGTAATTCTAACTTCGCCATCTCAGATAAAATAACTGTGGATTGTAATATCAAATGACATACTAAAGGGGAACGAAACAACATGAAAAATGAAGAAAGTGACCAGAGGATTACGATGGTGCGGATCTTGTTTACAGCAGAGGGATCGGAGACACGGCCATTGGCGACGATGTCGTCTAGGAGAGACTTGAGTAGCTTCCACTCTTGGAGAAAGTACCTCTGGAGAACTCTCTCCTTGGAATCGTGCTCATCGTCTTCTTCAGCTGTTGCTGCAACCGGATCGTCTCTTGTTTGGATTTCTTCTTTGGCCGCCATTAGAGAGCCGTTAGACTTGGATATAATTTTCTTCGACGACTGTCTTTCTTGTTTCCCGCCTCGGCTGTTTGGTTGGTTTTGGTTTCCGAGATGCCGCAATTTGGAGACACCCCTTCTTATTTCAGGGTGTGACACCGTTTGGACTTGGGAAGGAAGGGAGTCGTCACTTTGTCAGTCACAGTAAATAATTCGGATTTTCGGATTTTGGTCCAAAATCCATTTACCCAATTCAGGATTTTAATCTCATCGTACATTCACTAGTCACTTCTCCTTTGCGAGAGTTTACATCTGCGCCCCACAAACGCCCTACAGCATATCGCAGCGTACATTGGGAACATCTCCCGCATTTGTGATTGGGAGATGATCCCAATACACGGTTGGAAAGTGTTTGTGGGGTGTTTGTGGGGCGTCCTGTGTGGGGCACAAATGTGAATTCGCCCTTTTGCATCAATAGGGCTGTTCACGGATCGGGTTGGGTTGGTTTATTAATGTTTTTCCAATCGACCTGACCTGGTCGGGTTATCTAAAATTGAAATCGAAACCAACCTTGTGTTAAGCAAAACCGACCCAATTGGTTTGAATCGGTTTGGGTCAGTTTCGGCTCTACTTAGTGGTGACTTAGTTATTGTTCAAGTGTTCATTTTTGGCTCTACATTCCCAAAGGAAACCAGCATTTCCTTAATATTTTGTGGCCCATCCATGGATCCAGTTGTGGAGGGAACAGAGTTTGAGAGACAACTTAGTTAAGTAGGTTGTAATTATGATAGAGACAACTTAGTTAAGTAGGAACTAAGTAGGTTGTAACTACTAACTAGGAACTAACTACTAAGTCAGTTCGGTTCGGATCGGTTTTCGGTTTTCATGAAAAACTGAACCGAATCATCAGTTTATGGTTTTTTATAACCCAAAACCGATCGGTGCTGAAGAAAACCCGGCCGACTCGAGTTGGATCGGTTTGGTCGGGTTGGGTCTTATTATGAACAGCCCTATGCATCAATAACCACCCTGTGTGAGGCACATATTTGCATTAGGTGCCATTTGGCAAGTTTTTGTATGATGTAAATTTTTATATAAAGATATTGGCATACTATTGAAGCGTGTCGGTTTGGTTCATTGGTTTTTTGATTTTTTAATTTTAACAATATTATATATATATTTAAATATAATAAAAATTAGAAATATATATAATATTATATTTTAAATAATAAATAATATATCATATATTATAAACATGTATATATAATGCATATTTATTAATTTATAATACATAAAAGATAATATATAGAAATATGTATACCAGTATGTTCGGTTAACCATTGGTTTCTATATTGATTAACTGAAATCGAATCGGTACCTTCAGCTTTTTAAAAACATTAAATTTGGTTAACCGAATTTTCGGTTCAATTTAAGTCAATTTTTTTGGTCAATTCAATTTTTTGATGCATATTTTTCGCATGAAGATGAGGCAGTAAAAAATTAAATGCTCCATTTTGGAGCTTCTTATAAATAGCCATAAATGGGTTTTTCGCATCTTTTTGAGGTTATGTCTTTCAGTGGCCAAATCTTTTCCCAACCAAATGAGAAAAGATGAAAAAGCAGATAGTTGAGCTTTTAAATAGTTGACAGTCTGCACGAAAAGACACACCAAGCGGAGTCTCAATTAATAAGGTAGGCCTTTGGGGAGCAGCAATGATGGGTTAAGATTTGTTTATATATAACATCACATTGAATCGAATGGGATGTAGATAGATCCAAATTGGTTTGTTTATATTCATAACATTATTAAATTAAATTTAAAATGATCAAATTAATTTTTGTTTATTAATCAACTCAAAATGGTCAAATTACCGATATAATGAATTATAAATAAAATTTTAAGTAAAATTAAAAAATTATTTTAATTATTTTAATAATAATTATCACGACCAAAAATTAATTCAAGATAACTTCTCTGAAATTTGAATTTGTGAATATAGTAAAACACAAAATCCAAACCAATTTTACAATAAATACCATATAAAACTTTAAGTATACTAATAATTATGTATGTGCTTTGCACGTGACAAATTTTTTATGATGATGATAATAGTAAATAATGTATTTTCAATTTTTTTTACAATTTTTATATTTATATGTTTATAAAAAATTATTCTTATTTGTCAAACTTATTTTTATTTAATATGATGGATATATGATATTAGAGATGTGTTTAAATGTTTTCTACCAAAAAAAAGTATTTTTATTACTTTTGCGTGGTTCATCTCTTTTAACTTTTATTATTATTTAACTATGACATCAAGGTTTATAAATTTTAACTCAAATGTTGAATTATTGACTTRCTAGTTGCCACCAAGTAGAAAACCAATTCCATCTTTTTGGGTCGATTTTAAATTTGTATTTTAGTTTTAGGTCTTTTTGCAATAATATTAATAAGTTCTATCAAAATGACAAATCCAAATAAGTAAGTAGGAACTAGACTAAGTTTCGTTGGAAATGATTACCCCTTTATTGAAAAAACATATACGCATCCCTTCAACCCTCAACCTCAGCCCTTCCTCCGCCAATACACATAAAAAGAAACCCAAATCCTTCCGCCACATAATCCAGAAGGCATAAATGAAGAGAGGGAGAGAGAGAGTGAGGGATAGAATCTACGAGTAGCACCATAGGACACGTTAAGAAAATAAAGATGACCCAAACGAAAATAATGATTGGAATCTGGTTAATAAGAGGAAAAACAAAGGACACTTCAAACAATTTCTGGCAAGCTTAAAATATCAGGAACAGAGAAGCCAAGACAATAAGGGTGAGAACGTGGACGAACAGTGATCGCTATTGGGCCCAAGCAAAGTCCCAGAGATTTGACAGAGCAATGGGTTTTAGGAAAAATTCTGCTATGACCAGTATTGTCAATGCGAGTCATGATCCGACCACCCAAAATGACCAGTATCTGTTAAGGAAACATTTATAATTGTTTCACACATGGTTTTTAAAAATGAATCGATGATCGAACCGGTCAGGGGTCCAGTTATCGATTTGAACGGTCCGATTGTTTGGCCCGAATGGTTAGCTCATTATAACAAAAAAATAAAAATGGTCAAAACCGTTCGTACAGTTAATCGGCTGGTTCAGCGATTTGCTGACCAAAATCAACAGTTTTGGGAAAAAAAGCGGTTTTAAAGGAAAATGAAAGTGACCGGTTCCCGGTTTTCCCGGTCTAACCTTCCGGTCCGGTCTGGTTTTGAAAACAATGGTTTCACATGCCCATTATTTTTTTCAAAATCCCAAATGTACCCTTCTATTGCTTGTCATCTTCAAACTACGATGTTGTGTTTCTATTACAAACTATATGGTGATTTCTCATAAGTGACGCATAAGACTATTGGAGCGAGCATGCAAGGAAATTCCTTGAAGTATAACAATTTTGATTAATTTTTGAAAATTTAATGAACATTTAAAGACATTTTTGTCTTTTATAACTTATATGTAAGACTTAATATTTTAAAGGTTAACAAGATATGCATAAGGATACCCAAAGAAAAAGGTATGCGTAAGTAGGTTTTACAAGTTTGGGGTACATTTGATAAGTTTCCTAAATATACAGGGTATATGCAAATAATCAATCATTTTTAGGGTAAGTTTCTGAAACCTCCTCTAAAGTTTTTAATTGTTGCTGAAACTTCTCATAAAGTTTGGTAATTGTAATCATCTCTCTTGGACTTTCTGACTCAGTTGCAATTAGACCCCTTCTTTTAAGAGAACCCTCTAACAAAAGGCAAATGAAGAGTAATATTTTAAAGGTTAACAAGGTATGCGTAAGACCTAATCTTTTAAAGGATAACAATTTTGATTAATTTTTGAAAATTTAATGAACATTTAAAGACATTTTTGTCTTTTAAAACTTATATGTAAGACTTAATCTTTTAAAGGTTAACAAGGTATGCATAATGAATACCCCCCAAAAAAATGGTATGCATAAGTAGGTTTTAAAAGTTTATGGTACATCTCATAAGTTTCCTAAATATATAGGGTATATGCAAGTAATAAATCATTTTTAGGGTAAGTTTCTGAAACCTCCCCTAAAGTTTTTAATTGTTGCTGAAATCTCTCATCAAGTTTGGTAATTGCAATTACCTCCCTTGAACTTTATGACCTAGTTGCAAATAGACTCCTTCTCTTAAGAGAATCCTCTAACAAAAGGTACAAAAAATGTTCAAAATACCCATACAATTAGTGTTGAGACTGATTTCTTCATAAAAAAAAAAATACAAATTTCATAAACAACAAGAGAAAAGAGAGTTTAAAAGTACAATTTTACCTTAAGCAAAGGATACTAATAAGGGCGGAATTGGCCCTCCAATGACATTGTGACACCTGGCACCTCATACCAATTAAGTGCAGCCCATTGACAGCTAGACAGCTCGAGCTTGCCACAAGCAGCTCGCCATCATGCAGCCCTCATAGACAGCTCGCCACCATGCGGCACTTCAGAAGCAGCTCGCCATCATGTGGCATAGCACCTCATAATAACTAGGCGACACCCGGGACCACATTGACAACAACTTGCCTTTGCTAAGTTGATGGTATCCCACTAGGCGTGGCCTGACCCTGGCACGAGTTGGCAGCCTGGCCCTGGCGCGACCTGGCCCTGGCACGAGCTGGCAGCTTGGCCCTGACACGAGCTGACGGCCTGGCGGCCTGACACAGACGCCAATCTGACAACCTCGAGAAGCTCACCACAGTACCCCGCATTTTTATGGGATTGTGACTTGTAACGACTATATTAGTTCGCCAACTCCCCGGTTTTGACGACCAGGGACAGTTTTATTGTTTGATGGCATTTCACCCACCTAACATGAAAGCCAGTCCCATCATAGCTGGGATCCAAGAACTGATCCACCTAACCCATGAGGACTCTAGTATATAAAGACCTCACCCCCTAGGGGCGAAGGTATGAGGCAAAAAGGGATGGGTCCCTCAGCTCCCGCTGCTTACAAAGATGAGCAAATCATTGCCAGTAGGGAGTAGCTAGTTCAGTTCCCGTCGTTACTGGTAGCCAAATCACCTCTTGCCGGTAGCAGTTGGGTTGCACTACACTAGGGAGCTCGTCACCAAGGTAACTCACCTCTAGGCAGCTCATCAAGGTAGTTCACCTCCAGGCAGTTCATCAAGGTAGTTCACCTCCAGGCAGTTCATCAAGGTAGTTCACCTCCAGGCAGCTCATAAAGGTAGTTCACCACCAGACAGTTCGCCACCAAGGAGCTCCACTTCAGCCTCTGARTCATCGATCACATGGGAGTAGACGAGATGACAAGGTACTTGCTAAAAAAATGACATATCACAAAAAATGATACATGACTAGAAACGGTTACATCAAATACAAAGGGCAAAATCAAAAAATAAATCAATTTTAAAAAAGAGATTTAAAGGCTCGACTCCTGAGATAGTGATTGATATAAATAAAAGGGTAAAATACAAAACTTCTCATGAATTTTCTGACTATCATAAAAACCTTCCCTTTCGTTTCATTTTAATAAAAACCTCCCCTAAATTTTTAAAAAACTCAACAAAACTCTCCTTCCGTCATTGACCCAGACCAGAAACGTATAAACTTATAAAATTACCCCTAACTAATTTGCACGACCTCATTTAAATTTTTTTAAAATCCCAAATTGCCCTCATTCGACCGACAACACTTCCACAATTGGTTACCATTCTTTTTTCAGAGCAAAAGAAAATGACACAACTTAACACCACTAAACATTTGCAGCGGCGCCATTACTCGGAATACCAAGAATTGCTAAAATTTAATACAGACGCAAATGATTAAGAAAAAACAGATCGCTAGGTGTTTCAATATAAAGCAAACAAGACCGTGTCAATGAATCGCTGCGACTATGGTTATGGCAGATGTGATTATTCGATCATCTATTTCTCTCTCCCCGCTCTCTTTATCTCCCTCCATCGGTCGGTCGGCCGCTGGTAGAATTTTGTTCTATTAAATGGAAGCAGTCATCGCCTCCGAAGCTCTTTCATTTCAATCCAAGGATAAAAAGCCTATCTAAAATCCCCAGAGTCCAAATGGGCCACACTTACCTACCATATATTTTGAAACTAACAAAGAGTCCGACCAACGCTACATTTTGGATGATAAATTGAAAAAATGGCCCTTGCCATTTGTCCGCCTTTCTGAAACTAACAAAGGTGCTCTTTTAAATATACGTATTCGAGTATCGACTGGCCAAAATTCTTTCTCAATTTAGGGCTTATCCATCACAGCTTACACGCCATTTTCAAATTCACTTCCTCAATAAAACCTCCTGCTCCTCTCTTTTTGTCTCTTTAATTGCACCACTAGTTTGTAATTCGTAGTTTCCCTTCACTTGGGGCTAGGTAAAGCCTAAGGTGGACTCCCATGTGATTCTTTCTGAGCTTACGAGCGAGCGAGCAAACAAGAGACAACAGATGGACTAGTAGACAAAGAACCATTGGCTGTGTATGTGAAAGGCCCAATCTTTATTGGCTTGGTGTTGCTCCTATTTTTGGGGATCGCCATTTACTTCAAGCTTTGTTTTATTGATTACAATTTCTCTTTTGAAGACAAAGATTGTTCCATCAGTTTAGTATTGGATTGGCATCTCTTATTGATTACAATTTCTTCTTTCTTCTTTCTGGGTTTGGAAGTGTATCATAAACAAAAGAATGCCATTCCCTTTTCTTAAATTCTTCCCGTACATAGGATGCCCTAACGATTAATTAGGGATAGTTTTATAATTTTATACAAAAATTTAGGGGAGGTTTTTATTAAAATAAAATTAAAAGAGATTTTTATGATTATCAGAAACTTAATAAAAATTTTTGTATTTTACTCTATATAAAAAATTTTAAAAATAAATATTTTGATTAAAAATTATTTTATAGATATTTTGAACATTTTCGTACCGGTTATTAATTATTACATAAGGGATTTGATGCAACCGAGTCAGAAAGTTCTAGGGAGGTGTCAGTCAATCACCCTTTTTTTTTCACAGCACTGCTCACTCGTGTCATTTCCCTCCATCACGAGTGCACCCGCTAAACCTCAGGCTCAGCAGTTACCCATTGTTCGGAACCTTCCAGAATATCGTTAGATACTTGATTCTCTCCTAGAACTCTCTCGTCGCATCCTTTAATACCAACTCATCGTCTTCCTCCTCTTCGTAGGCCCTGAAAAGTGAGAACTCTCCAGAATAGCTCTTCAGTACAGGTCCAAACCAAAATCCATATCTTAGAACAGAAGTCTCGATCCGTTCTGCGCCTGTAACATTCTTCATCTCTTATACGTAGCTAGGTTGGGGTTTCGGCATGGCCGAGGAAGCTAAAGGGAAAGGAAATGCGGCCTTCTCCGCTGGCCGTTTCGAAGAAGCCATTCGATTCTTCTCCGATGCAATCAATCTCGCCCCAACAAACCATGTCCTCTACTCCAATCGTTCCGCTGCTCACGCTTCCATCCACCATTACTCGGAAGCCCTCGCCGATGCGAAGAAGACCGTCGAGCTTAAGCCCGACTGGTCCAAGGGTTACAGCCGTCTGGGCGCAGCCCACGTTGGCCTTGGTAACTTAGACGATGCCATCGCTGCGTACAAGAAAGGTCTCGAGCTTGACCCCAACAACGAAGCTCTGAAATCGGGTCTTGCTGATGCTCAGTCGGCTGCTTCTCGATCGCGCGCTCCTCCTCCGTCATCGTCGTCGTCGTCGCCGTTCGGAAACATATTCGGAGGGTCGGAATTGTGGGCTAAATTGGCGGCTGATCCCACGACGAGGGGCTATCTTCAACAGCCCGATTTCGTGAAGATGCTTCAGGATGTGCAGAAAAACCCTAACAATCTAAACTTGTATTTGAAGGATCAAAGGATGATGCAAGCTTTGGGGGTTGCGCTTAACGTAAAATTGAAGACTCCTACTTCGGAGGATATGGAGGTCCCCGAAGCGGAGCCAGAGCACAAGAGGCACCCACATCCAGAGCCTGAACCAGTGAAGCAGACAGAGCCGGAACCGGAGCCGGAACCAATGGATCTTACAGAGGAGAAGGGAGCAAAGGAAAGGAAGGCACAGGCTCAGAAGGAGAAGGAGGCGGGAAATGCAGCCTACAAGAAAAAGGATTTCGAGACAGCAATTCAACATTATACCAAGGCAATGGAGTTGGATGATGAGGATATTTCTTTCCTCACCAACAGGGCAGCCGTTTACTTGGAAATGGGAAAGGTATGGTCTCTTCTTGTTCGATATATATGTGTACTTGATTTTTTTTTTCATACCTATGGACTACTTTCATGGTGCTTATTTTTGTTCTTTTTGCCATTACTTATGCTATACTAATTACTCGTTCTAATAGTTTATAGAAAAAAATGTTATATGCATGTTTTGTTTGCAGTGCATCTATGTTATTTTCCTTAACATAGATTGTCTGGTCAAAGGAAAATATAGGACATAAACATTCATGTTCACCGATCTTATGTAGGAGAAACTGGTCTCACGGGAACTGTTATATTGCTGTTTAGTATGGATAAACAAATTCCGAACGAAGAAATGGAAACTATAAGTGATCATTAAGTTTGAAAGGTGTCCTTTAAATGAAACTTTGTGGACATCATGTTTTTGACAGTTACTTTGTGTACATCATTAAAACTTGCAGACTATTTTTCTCTAGAAGTTTATTTATTTAAGATTTGATGATAAAGGACATATTGAGAGTGGAGAATTGGAGATTACTTTCTTCATTTTCTTTTTTACCCTTGTTTTATGCCCATCACCACCTTGTTCAACCCCATATTGAAGAACTCCATTTGAGCATTTTGAATTACTCGTGTATTATTGTGCTTGTAAGCTTGGTGAGGCATGATCCTCATTTTTTTCGTTTCTTTTTCCTCTTTGTTGAAATGCTTGGTGTCTTTTCTTGATACACTGTTCCACTCTTTCTGGCCAAAGCGTGAAAACGTATGGAGGTAACAAAGTATGTGCGGATCCAAAAAAGGGTATAGAATGCCGTGATGTTGTCACATATGAAGGTGGACGACAGACTAGGGGGAGCAGTCACTTGGTTACTTCGTAGAATTTCTTCCAATGTCTCTCGGTTCATGTGTCTGCTTGGGGTGCTGAGGTAAACAAAAGAGAAATGGAAGAAAGAAAATAAGAGTTTAGGAAAAGATGGCAATGGCTTGTTGCTGATCAAAAAATATATATAAAAAAGATGACAATGGCTTTGAAAGTTACATACAAGGGACTAATATACAAACTTGTGAAAAGACATGCAGAAAGCCGGAAACCTGCCCTTAGCTTAACGTCTTCTATCTGTAATTGTCTGTTTGGTTTCCTCTTTGGAAGTTGGTCATATGTGACAACCTGCTGCATCTTCGATTTGGAAAGTGCTGTTTTAAACTAGCCCACCTTTGGAAAGTAAGATTTTTCCAACACTTGTCCCCTCTTAGAGTATCTATTTCAAAGTCCTTATTTATTGAATCAGAGCCAATTTACCAAGGCAGGTAGAAATGGTGCCATGCATCTCTGATCCAACCAAAATATTTGAGATAGGGCATAGTTCGGCTAGGTAAAGGTTTGTTAAGAGCTCCTACCTGGAAAACTGTTTCCATGATTTTTTATTTCTTCTGGAGGGTAATGGAGTAGGATTCCCGGCCTATCAAAAAATGGGGCAGGATTCATGGTGCTGACCAAAATATTTGCGTTAGGGCTTAGTTCAGTTGAGATGGTTGCCACCAAAATATTTCTTTTGGTGGTTACTGGTTCTTCAAGATCTTGTAAACCTTGTGCACTGAAGGCATGGTTTTTGCTGAAAGTTATCTGGGATGTTCGATATTGTACTCAGGTACCATGATTTATTTAGCTGGAGAAAACTTATTGTTTTGTAGTTTCTTTATTTTTTATTTAAATATTATGATTTTGTTTTATATCACTTCAACTCTACTCAACAAGACCTTAAATTAGCCTACTTAGCTATATGCTTTCTGTTTTTGCACTCTTATTTTCTTTCTATGATTGGTAACAAGATCATGCATTTATAGTTGTATGGAAACACCCTATGTATTGAAGGAAAAAAATATATGGAATCACCCAGACATGATGAAGAATCACAAACACAAAGAGACAAGGAGCCAAGCCCTTTAATATTAAATCTTACATGAAGAAGTTGTTTTCAAATTTTCCAGTAACATTAAATTTATTGCACTGATTGGATAGAGTATTATTTTTTGTGCTTTTTTTACCATATATTGCTGTTTTTTGTGTTTAATTTGTTTTACAGGTGGTAGTTCTCTGTGGGCTATGTGATCGATTGTGAATTTGCTGATTGTGTGGTTCACTGTTCGTGCTTAAAAGATAAATGTGTTAAGGAGTTGGTTCGCATCATCATGGTTGATGTTGTGATTTCTAGGTTAATGTACCATAATCACTAGTCTGAGAACACCCCGCATGCTTGTACCATGAAGACATCTTAAGGCCTATTCTTCCTTATTAGTACCATAGCTTTCTTTGTAAAACTAACTGCTTCAGTGATGAGTCATGTCTGTTAAAATAAGGATGCAATGTTCCACTGATGGTTTATGATTTTTCTTATAGTGATTTTATTTCTCTAGTGATTTTGGTGCTTTCTTTCTCTATTACTTTTCTAACTTGAATCTATATGGTGCCACAGTATGAGGAATGTATCAAGGATTGTGATAAAGCAGTTGAGAGAGGAAGAGAGCTGCGCTCAGACTTCAAGATGATTGCAAGGGCATTGACAAGGAAGGGAACTGCCTTGGTGAAAATGGCAAGATGTTCAAAGGACTATGAACCTGCAATTGAGACTTTCCAGAAGGCTCTTACTGAGCATCGCAATCCTGACACATTGAAAAGGCTTAATGATGCTGAGAAAGCGAAGAAAGACCTAGAGCAGCAAGAGTATTTTGATCCAAAATTGGCAGATGAGGAACGTGAGAAAGGTATATCCTTAGAGTTTTGCATTTTTTGTCTTCTTATATTACTGAAACTGTGTTGACAATTGTCATCGTTTGTGCAAACATTCTCGGGTTTCTGACTATTTGCATGGAATTTGTGTTTTGAAGTTGCTTGGTTGTTTCATCCAGAGAATGTTTGCACTTTGCACATGCATGCATGTGTAGTTAGTTAACCATGGATAGTTCTATTGAAACTGTTGATGAATCTGGGCCATACTTTTGAGGGTAAAATTGAGTTATATGGGAAATTATTAACAACTTCAGTTTACCAATATCTTTTTGTAATATAGGTAAAACGCAAAGGAATGACTACTCCTATTCCCTCCCATTAAAAATTAGAGTAGATTTTGGTTGGTTTATTCAAAGCTAACATCAAAGTTTTTGTGGGTGGTAGGAGAAACAGGCATGGTTCTGCACTTAGTGGCATATGAATGTATTCAATTTATTGGAGTTAGCCAGGATRTTTTTGTGAATTTTATTTTATCTTCTAAAACAGTTCGTATTAAGGAGTGGGTGGTCATACATTCTCATCCTATATTGTACTGCCGAATGTACAGGTAACGAGTATTTCAAGCAGCATAAGTATCCTGAGGCTGTGAAACATTACACGGAAGCCTTGAAACGGAATCCTAAAGACCCAAGGGTAATGATACATTTTTCTATAATCATGCATTTGTAAAAGGATGGCATCACTGTAGCAATTGTTTGAAACATGATTTGCTTGTCATTTTGCAGGTATATAGCAATAGGGCAGCCTGCTATACCAAGTTGGGAGCCTTGCCTGAAGGATTGAAGGATGCAGAGAAATGCATTGAACTTGATCCAACCTTCTCAAAAGGGTACACGAGGAAAGGTGCAATCCAATTCTTCATGAAAGAATATGACAAAGCCTTGGAGACTTACCAGGAGGGGCTGAAACATGATGCTAACAACCAAGAATTGATGGATGGTGTCCGAAGGTACATTCATTGAACATTATCAGTCAGAGGTTTTCTGGTGCTAATATTTTGACATGTATTGATATTTGCTCCATTTCTATGACAGATGTGTAGAACAGATCAACAAGACTAACCGTGGTGAGATTAGCCCTGAGGAATTGAAAGAGAGACAGGTTAGATAAAGTATCTCCTGTTTTACCAGGCCCTCAATTGTGGCCATTGTTTTGACCATTTTATTTTTGTGTTTTGTGCAGGCTAAGGCAATGCAGGATCCAGAAATCCAGAACATCTTATCTGATCCAATAATGAGACAGGTAATTTCACGCAGAACTTCTGTAGATTTGAGGCAACTTGATGCGCCATCTGCTGTTCTTCTGTTGTATACGGTTTATTATGGGATATTATGTGTCGGTGTACAGGTATTGATTGACTTTCAGGAGAACCCCAAGGCCGCACAAGAGCATCTTAAGAACCCTCAGGTGATGCACAAGATACAGAAGCTGGTTAGCGCAGGGATCGTTCAAATTAGATAATGTTGAAAGGGAAGACAGAAACGGTGACTGAGCATGAGCAAACATCAAGTGAATGTCGTCTTTATTGTCCTATTATTCCCCGTTTGTATTTGAGTGGACGGTTTAGTCAAACTTGTATTTGAAAATTTTGAATTGCCGAGATTCAGTTTCGGCTTTTGGGGGATCTTTGTGTCATGGTCGATCATTTGGTTTGGTAATCGTCATTTCCACATTTATCATTTTAATACTGTATTATCTTTTTCAGTCTTCGTCTCTGGGTCTTTCTAGAATCTTCTGTTTTTATTAGGGTTAAGTGGTAGAACTGTGAACAGAACAGGGAACTGGAGCTACTTCGAGGGTGCTCCGCCTCAGGGAGAGAATATGAGGAAAATTTCTCTGATTTCTTCAATTTCGAATGGCCACTTGTAGCATTGTACATCCATTTCCATCAAGATTAACAAGCTGGTAACTAATTATGCTGATTTGTCTTCATAGAATATACATATTTAAGAGATGGTTTGTAGGGAATCTCTCTGGGTCAGCACCGAGTTGGATCTTGGGCCTAGGCTGCAGCTGAAGTGTCCGGGCCTTGTTGCTCCACTGATATTTAGGTTAGGAAAATCGCTTATGCTTATTGCCAAACTTGACCCATTTTCAGCGGTGATTTTGTGAGGTTGGACAATCAGCTCTTCCTCATTAGTGAACTATTGGGCTTACAATAGTAATAGAAATGCATGGCTTCAAGAGAGACACATGAAACACTAGGGCCATGTTTGGGAGTGCTTAAAAATAATGCTTATTTGGGTCGAGACTGTATCATTAAGCATTTATTGGTGTTTGGAAAATAAGCCTAAAACAAGTTAAGGGCTCATTTTTTAAGCCTAAATTTTTAGCTATTTTTTGAGTATTTATATAATAGACACTTGTTCAATTTTTTCTTTCAAAATTATCCTTAGTTGAATTTTATAAAAGTACTTTTGTAAAACTGTTTTTATTAAAGTGCTTTCATAAAAGTATTTTTATAAAAATATTTTCATAAAAATGCTTTCGCAAAGGTACTTCTATAAAGTGCTTTCATAAAAATGCTTTTATTAAAGTGTTTTTCATAAAAGTATTTTTATAAAAGTACTTTCGTAAAAGTGATTTTGTAAAATTTGAAAAAAAATGAAGGACAAAATAGTTGAAAATGCTTATTTAAGTGGTTATTAGAAAAAGATTACCATAGGCCCAATAAGAATAAAGTGCTTTATTTTTTAAATGGAGAGGTACGGACAAGCCCAATACAGATTTCTGAAATCCACTGTGGATCTATAAACATTCAAAATGTCAAAAACCCCTACTCTATAAATCAATTCTCGCCGTGAATTGACATCAATTCCAAGCTGGTATCTACCCCAATTATACTTTGAGCCTAAAAATTTTGACCATGGGCTGAATAGTCATTCTTCCTTTTTAAAAATAAGCACTTAAAAAAGTTGGGTGTCAAATACAAATAAGTGCTTGTTTGAATAAATACTTCTTTTAAGTACTTATTTTTAATATAAGCACACCCAAACATGGCCTATGTGCAGCTTGGAAAATGCAAATAAATCCAGTTTGTAAGCTACTTGGCCAATCCTTTCTAGAATCTTGATGGGACCAAAGTATCTATGTGATAATTTCTACCAAGCTCAACGGGCTAAAAAATATTGCTAGTAGAGTTGCAGCTTAAGAAAATGTCTCCTAGCTTGTATTCCACAAAAACTCACTTCATTCTTTCTTGGGCTTGTTGCAGGTGTTTCTCGAGGGACTGCAACAACTCATCTCAAGATGATAATTGTTAGTCTACCTCAACAATAATAGAAGAGGACTCCTTCTCACAGGGCAAGAGCGAAGGAGAATCCTGTCCATAAACAACCTTGAAGGGAGTGATCCCTATAAAAGTATGGAAAGTGGTGTTGAAACAGTATTTAGCTTTAGCCCAAGGCAGTTAATATGTCCATTATATTGGATTCTCACCAATGAAACACCTTAGATAAGTTCTCAAATAGCGATTCATCACTTACGTCTAACCATTCCATTCGTATGAGGATGGCAGTTGGTAGAACTTTGTGGTGCTTGAAATAGGCTTTCCAATATTTACTCATAAAGAGTGGATTTTGGCCTCTGACTATATCAAGGTGCCATGCAACTTTGCTACATTATCAATGAATGCCTTTGCTGCTATTAATATTGGTAGTATAGGGGTATGGTAATGCAACAAAATGGGTGTAATTGGTAGGTTTGTCACCATAAAAATAACCAATTTCCTACTGATTTGGTTTGGAATTGGCAAAGGCTATAGTAGCCCAATCGATGACTGGGTGATGTATTTTTGTTGCTGAAAAGTTGCAAAAGAAGCTATACAAGACTATACCATTTTCTTCATCCCCAGATAGAAGAAATGTGCCACCAGTTGTTAATATGTTTCGAGTACGACTGAATACCCTCTGAGGTCTGAATCATGAACCAACTACAAAAGGTTTTAATGATGGGCAAAATTCCGGGCTACCACCAACTAACCCTTATAAAATAGAGAATACTTGACCACTGAATAACTGGACACATTGCTGGGATCTTGTGCCCATTAGGCTTGAACCTGGGCCAATTCAGAATCTTATTGGGCTTCTTGTTTGATTTGGCCCTAAAACTGTAGCTGTGAAACCCCCATATAGCTCAACTCTCGGGCTTGGACAAAACATTGGCCACAACAATAGAAGGACTTGGTTTATACTCAGCCACAAATCATAGCCCAATAATTCGGTAGTACATTTCTAGTGCTCTAGGCTTAGCACCCATTGCCCAACAGATGTTTTATGTTGCAATGATGGGTTCTTACCACAAAGCATTGGCTTAATAGATAGGGCCTCCATTTTTGGATGGCCAAAGTCACTGCAATTAAGTCGTTTTCATATGTAGACTTTGATTGTGTTTGGGGAGAGAGAATACTTTGCTGAAATATGCTATTGGTTGGCCTTGTTGCATCAACATGGCACCCACTCCTCTTCATGAAGCATCACTTTCAACAACAAATTCCTTAGAAACATCAGGTAGTAGTAGAGTGGGCGGAGAAGTTGCCATGGTTTTGAGAATTTTAAACGTTTGTTCAACTTCTTCAGTCCAATGAAAAGCCTCATTTTTTTATAATTTAGGCCTTATTTGGCGTGTTTTTCCACGCAGGCTATTGGCTGTTTAATTAGAAGCCTGGTAGTCCACGTTTTGGTCTTTTTCCATGTAGTTAAGAAAAGATCTAACTGCCAAAAGATGCCACCACGAAAAGCTCATGAAACCCATTTTGGGCTATTTTTGACAAGTTCCAAATAGAGCTTTTCGATTTTTTTCCCATCATTTTTGTGCGAAAAGACGCACAAGAAAACACACCTTAACCAAACGGTCTTTAGGCTACTAAGATATTAATGCAAAAACTCATATCGTCTTTTGGCTGTCAGGTCTGCTAGAATATCTTTCAAAAAAAGACTTGCCAAACGACACCTTAGTAAGGGATTCAAATATGGATAACCTTTGATGAACTAGTGATGAGAAACAGCTAAACCTAGATATCCCCTCAGCCCTCTCAAAGAAGTGGGCTTAGCCTAGTTCAACATGCACTCGATTTTCTTTAGGTCAGTTTCTACCTTTCCGCCCAAAATAATATGGCCCAAGCATTGGATCTTAGTCTGACCAAAAGAACAATTAGCAAGCTTTGCAAATAACTGGTGGTGTCTTAGGATGCCTGAGGTGCAACATGGGCGTTCCAAATAGGCGTTCAACTTGGACTATACACCAAGATATTGTCAAATAAAACTATTATGTGTTGGCGCAAAAAAGAGGTTTGAAAACATCATTCATAAGGCTTTGAAAGGTGTCCAAAGCATTGGTTAGGAGGCCAAATGGCATGATAAAAAATTCATAGTGACCATCTACTGCCCTGAACACGTATTATGAACATTGTCTGGGTGCTTCTTATTTGGTGATAACCTGACTTAAGATCTTACTTAGAGAGATTAGAGCTTGGCCCAACACATCAAACAATTAATCAATCAATGGTAGAGAAAACCTGTATTTAACTGTAATGTGGTTAAAGGCCCGATAGTCTATGCAAAAGCACCAAGTCCCATCCTTCAATTTTAACCCTTTGATATGGAGGGTAGCAAAATAGCTTGACATTAGTGGGTATAGCTCTTGGACAAATGGGAATTCTATGGTTATGGGCCTATGCAGGTGGTAGGACTTGAGGCTGTTTATAGTCAAGTCCTACCACCTGAAACAGCTGTCCTAACCCTCTCATTGAAATATTTGTTACACATTAAATCAAAATTAGAATCAATCACTTTAATGACATCAAAGGGTCTATTTACTTTTTATTATGTTGCGCACACAAGATGTACTTTCACATTTAACAAGGTGTACCTACCATTAAAGACTTTAATACTTTATCATTGTGACATATTGCTTCATCAATGCTTTGTTATGTTGCAACCATTTTCATATAAATGCATCATAGGTTTTGCCCAATGCCAAATGTATTTGGTTAAAATAAGAAAACTTTGGCTGTCCATGTGTGGTGGGATTTCCTATCATTTGTCCACCTCCTTGTGACACATGTTCAGGTCCAACAAAAATTAACATCTCAGTTAGGGTYGTGAATGGGTCGGGTCTGCACGATAGACCTGAACCAATCGAACCAAATATAATGGTTTTGATTCCAAGTGTAAAACTATTCGGTTGACTCTGGGTCTAAGAAACGTGTCTTGATTACTATTGGTTTGAGACTGGTTTCGGATGTTCAAACCAACTCAAACCCGAACCACTTATATATGTAATATATCATATTTTATCCTTGAGTTTTATATGTAATAATAGTGTTAAGTAATGTTCAAATTTAGGATGGATTTCAAAACCTGAAATCATTTTAGTTTCTAGGAATGGCAACATGACAGGGATTCCTGTCCCCGACTCTGACTTTGAAACAAATTCCCATCCCTGATTCCTAATAGGGACGAGTTTCTTGTCGGGGACTCGAATCACTAGAATTTTTAAATTAAAATTATTTTTAAAAAATATATTTACTCAAAATAAGAGAAAACCTTAAAATGAAGAATATTTTAAATATATTTTATATAATATAAATGATATTATATATGTATATGTTTAATATATAATATATATGACTGGGGTCAGGCTGGATATTATATATGTATATGTTCAATCCCTATCCCCGTCCCATCCCTGCCAAGGAAATATCCAGCCCTGACCACATTGGGTCGGGGAAGCTGAGTACCCAATGGAGACGAGAAAAATTGCTTTTGTATGAAACAATGTCAAGGGGTAAACTTTCAAGCTTGAAGTGTGAAATTCTCCAATCTTCCCTCATTTGGACGAAGCTAGAAACCCTCAARGGCTCAAACTCTCAACTAT